GGCTTTAGAGAGGTTCTCAGTCGGGAAGTTCAGAGGTGACTAAGTCGATTAAACGCAAAAAGTTAAATTCAGGCTAGTCGACGAGGCTGAAGTTAAGAAAACCTGACGTCAAAATTGAGCACAATTTAAGTAACACACGACCAAAAGACGGGATGACAGAGGGTATTTGTTTGCAGTGCTCGCAATCCCCAGCCCGGTCCTTCTTGCAGGTTAACATCCACACACCTGATTCGGTTACACACTGCTCCTCTTGAGTGGCAAAGCCTACATTGTGTCCAACTTAATCTCCATTTTCTAGATCAAAATGCTTAGCAGCCACTCAGCACCACAAGATGCCATCCGTCCACCGTGCTGCCTCACATTGGCAGCATTAGAGTAGAGCACTATGGCTCTCTTCAGGGGGCGTGGCCAGAGGGGTTGCCTAGGGACGGGATCCCCCTGAAACCTCTTTGGCCACCCCAGGTGCCACCCTAAAATCCAAATCTATGATTGGCTATTTGCCTTTGTAGAGGCGGGACATCAGTGCAAATCAACTATTCTGGCTTTTCAACAGACCTATGGTAGAACAAGTCCAAACGTTTAAATTGTACTTCTATCTTGTCTAACTTGCAATGGACTTAATTGCCAATAAATTTATTTTAGAAATGACACAGGGTATAAGGGTTAGCATATAATTTTCTAAGTACTTAAAATTATCACCTTGCACATTCATCTTTGTTTTTCAGTCCCTAAAGAATCAAGCTTAGAAGATTTATATTTTGCCAAATTGTGTTACTTACAAGTTCATATCATTAGCGGAGATAGAAAGGGTTAAATATTTGTAATTAATTTGCATGCGTGTGCCCACAAACGTCATGCCACCCCTGCATGAGTCAGTACCCCAGGTGGGCCACCCCAGTTAAAAAAGTCTGGACACGCCCCTGCCTCTTGTTAAGTCTGTGTGTTTGTGTGTATGTTGCATATTTATAATAATCACTGAATAGTTACTATTGATTACAAAAAAGTATTTTTGCTGGAAGTGCACACCCCTAGTGATGCAATATAGATCTGGCAACCCAGAGGCTATTTTATAAATGTTTTATGGCTGACTTTCTTTTAGTAAAGTTGGAAAAAAAAGTTGAAAATTCCAGAAATCCAACCTCCATCGTAAACGTGATATTTTAACAGCAGTTTCTTGCTGTTAGTTATTAGTCATAAAACCATGTCAAGTTTCTCAGGTGTCTCTATTCCGGGAGCTATGAACAAGAATCTTTTAGACTTATTGCTCTGGGTCGGATGGCATAATAACTGTACACACACACACACACACACACACACACACACACACACACACGCACACACACGCACAGTGCCAATGACTCCCCTGGTCTTGGCAGCAGATGCAGGCCTGTCCAGATGAACTGTTATTGATGGAGGAATGCATCATCCTCCCCTCCCACTGTCTCTGACACACTGCATTGATGGAGTACGCTGTAGCACAGGCCGAGTGTGATGTGTCTGTGGACTGAACATCCAGAACATGTTCTCAGGCGGATTATTTCTATAAAATAAGATTTAAAAAAACACAATTTATCAGATTAAACTGACACAGATAAACCTGTTATATACTTTATCACACCAATACGTTTAAAAATGATTACAGTGGTGTATAATTCAGCAAATATCAGATAAACAAGATTCTGCACCAATCCTTTGTGAATAAAAGTTTCCAATATCTTGTGCTGCCGGCCCGGTTTTTTCAGGAGCTCAATAATAACGATATTAAGTTCTTCGCTCTTAGCCCTGCTTCTTCCATATTTTTTAAAAGAAATAAAGAGCGGGAAAATCTGACCCTCAGTTCCAGTATTCCACTTCACAAAAATGTGTTGAATTTGATATGATTCCTCGTGTTTCTCTCTATGTTGAAGTAAAAGCAGCTTTTTTTGTGCGACCAGGAGGAATCCTCTGAGCAGCAGCTTTTTTTTGGTAATAGAGTTCCTGCAGCTCAACGGAAAAGCACAAAAAAATCAGTAGTCACGCCGTTTTAGCTTTCAATATGCCGCGTCAGCTTCCAGATTTGTCTCCTTTCATTCTCCCCTGTTTGCTGCCTTATGAAGCACATTGTAAAGAAAGGAAGTATGTTGGTTTTTTAAGCCACTACAACGGAGGAGTATTGTGAGGCAGACTGCCATCTACCGGCTTAAGAGAAATCCCCCCCCCCGCCCACACACACTTTTAACTCCCACTCAAGTAGTCGAGAAGAGGAAGTGGAGACAGTTCATGCACATGGAAGCACTAAACAGGCAGTCTGGTTGCTGCAATGATGAGGGAACAAAAAAAAAAAATCCTCCCATTAGTTGCTTCCTGTTTGATTTCCAGCATGACGGTCATCCACTCGGCTCAACATCACTAATCAAATCTGCATCCAGCCAATCATTTGTCCAATTTTCTCGACCCACGCTCATGGATATCAGTGTGCAGGATTTTCACTGTTCTAATGTTTGCTCCTGGTCGTGGTTATTGCAGAGCTGTGTTGCTGAAATGGAGGTGAACCAGTCTGACCATTTGAGAACCCGCCACACTGAAAAAGTGCTTTAAATCCTTCATCCATCCAGCTCATTATACACACATTAAATATTCTACTCAACCAGAAAATGAGATTGAAGCGATAATTTAAGGATTGCATAACCTGAAAATGATCAACATTCTGACTTTGCATGATTTGCTCTGTAATCAAAGCTCCTGCGTGGAGTTTTGGCTGATTATGAAACAGATTTAAATGAATACTGATGCCTCTTTTACGACTTACACAACATAAGGAGACGATGAACGACAGTACGGATCATTTCTACATAGTTATTTTTAACGCTTGTAACCACTGCCACAGGGTAGGTGTCAGAGGGAGTGAGTTGTAGCACAAACAGCCAGTGTTTACATTTTTCCCACAGCGAAGAATCATGCGGAATAATACATTTAAATGTTAAAAGATGGAAAGAGCCAATAGCCTGGTTGTTATGTTGCGCATCCCATGTTCAGAGGCCATGGGTTCAAATCCGACCTCTGCCCTTTGCTGCATGTCATCCCCCTCGCTTACCTCCAAACATCTCCTGTCTCTCTCTTCAGCTGTCCTATCCATAAATGCTAAAAAGCCAAAAAAATATCTTTAAAAAAAAAAAGACTGAGAGAGAAGATTTTTCAACAAAAACACGACTAACACATAAAGAGAAGGTCAGCAAAGAGACTACAGGTACCGCTTTGTCCACAGGGGGCGCCACCGGTGCTATGAGGTAGTTTCTAGAAGGATATGTGGGAGCCAGCTATCATGATCTACTCCTCATTGTAGCATCAGGCTTCATCCCCGGCCTTAATGGAGCATGTGCACAAAATATAGAATCAAAAAAGATTGAAAATGTGACCGAGGCGACTGATTGCATCCTTAAACTCTGAGGAGACGAAGCTGATGAAGTTATTCAGGTTTGGATTTCTCCAATTCTGCTCATAATGGATTGAAATTGACATTTCAGCTGTTCATAAACAACACTTTGCAAGGCTTGGTCTGACCACACGCTCACACTTGCAGGTAAAAAAAATAGGGAAATATGTGTGATAAGAACATGCAGAACATATTTGGGGGTAGCCTACATGGTTAACTTGCCTTTAAGGGAAAGTGGGATATTATTAAGACAGTCTGGCACATTGCATTTGGCGTGGTTTTAACTGTTAAATACAGATTTCTGTCAAATTTAAATAAAGAGTCATAATTTTCCTGAACTGATTCTTAAATCTCAGTAAATACACATATTCCTTAAATTGGGTGTACACTGGACTCTGGTGTCTCCTAACAACCCAGAGCTCAGTGACATTTGTATGTTGAACATGGACACGGCTCCTGCTGTGATCCGTCACACAGCAAAGAGCCTCTCCAAGCAGGAAGCTTTTATATGGTAATGAAATCGATTGGAGCGATGCGCACACCAATCAGAAGCGTTTGATTTATGTGTGAGGGACTATTGAGAAGAGTAGTCGCTTGGCAACCGCCTAATGAAATGTTGGAGCCGTGGCTATTAAAAACAGCAACCTTAGATCCCGTTCGCTTCCTCCTGTTGCGGCTTACATGAAGAGAAAATAGTCCCCACCTCGACTCTAGGGATCAAAGAGACACTTGATTAAAACTCAAACTCTGCGCTTTCTGCATGATACAAAGAATCAAGGAGGAGGCAAGACTGTCTTTTGAATCAAGAGTCGTGATTTGGTGACAAGCTTGAAAACCTCCCAAAGGAGCTGCTGCCTGTCATTTAGCCTCGGCTCATATTAATCCTTCAAATATGTTACAGCGTCTCCCAGACATCACGCGTAAATCTGTGCATGTACAGGCTGTCTTATAGGAGCCAACAATGGATGAACCCCGCTCCTCCTGAGAGCTGAGAAAAGACGTGACAGAGGAGCACACTGCAAAAAATAAAATCTGTAAGAGTCCATATCTCGTCTTCCCTTTCACCAAACATGAAAGAACACTGCAAATAATGTGGCGAGACAGACTAAATATGTTTGAATCAAGTGAAGGGATTCTTATGGCGAGGGTCGAGGAAGAAAAAAGTCACATCTCCACACTTTGCAGGAGATATAAATGACATTTAATTTGGGGAAACAGGTTAAATCAGCTGCAGTTATTCACTCCAAATCGCCTTTCCTCTGACCGAAGAATAAATGATTGGGTTTTGGCTGAAAAGAAGAGTTTGGATCGATATTTTTTGCAGTGTATAGTCCTGCTTGATCTGTGAATCCGAGGGAATGAAAAAGGAGGATGGATGTGACTGTTACTGTGGAAACCAACTTTCTCCTGCCCACACGATGCTTTTCATCCTCAACTAAGCATCTCACAGGCTTTCATAAAACATCACAGCTCAGATCAGCTCAAGCCCCAAACTCAGCCATGGGAGCGCTCAATAAAGGCATATCAGGTGACATATCAACACTTTCTCGAAAGATCTGCTAGAGATTTTTTTTTTTTTGGCACTTACAGCAGTTGGTTACAGCAAAACTGTTCGCCACTTCCAGATTGTCAATGTGAGGCGTCAATCTGAATTCCTGGGTGCCAAACTGAACCATTCCTATCCGAAAAGCGCTGTACTCTTGATCCGCGCCCCTTGGAAAAAGTCCCCCTGAAAACCGAAATAGAAAACAGTTACACTTGCACAGTTTTCTGTGGAAAAGACACATCTCCTGGACATTTTACGCACATTTTGGTTTGCTTTTCGGCCAATTTGGGGATGTTTTTTTTTTTTTTTTTGTGCGTTTGAAATCATGGATAGGCTATACGTACCAATCTGGACACTGGGCGAGCCTCCATGAGCGCATCCCCATAAAACCAGCACAACAGAAAGGGATAAATTCACTATCTTATCCATGTCCACAGTTCAGGTGTCCACATCCACCAGGGGAGTCTTATTATTCCTTGTTTTGCTCCGGAGACGTTAGATCCGTGACATGTTTAGACACCGTCAGCCTTGGTGAGAAAACCAAAATAATCTGTTGCAAAAGAACCGTTTTCTGCTCTTAATTGGAGGAATGGTTGCCGGTAACGCAGAGGTCTGCTGTCTCTTCTTCCGCTCCTCCTCGGCTCTGTCCTCCTGCCGGCAGCTGATACCTCCTCCTCTCTGAACGCACAGGGGGGCTCTGCGCGCCTCCGCTCGGCGCGCCGGAGATCCTTTCAGCTTCACACCCACAAGTGAGGAATGTTAATGAGAAGGCGGAAAGACACGGAAAGTGCCGAGTTGCAACCAGTTGGTGACAAGGGTGCACACTTCACATTCAGTTAATCAAACATGCTGTCTGAAGTAGCCTATATCGTCCATGATTTGTTTTACGCATTACAAGCTTTAGGATATTTAGGAGTATTACGGTATAATAATATTGAACACTATTGATTCATAACATCCCAGAGGCCCAATTTGTGTGCACAGGGCCGGCTCAAGCCATTTTGGCACCCTAGGCAAGATAAGGACTTCCCCACCCCCACCCCACCATCTCATCACCACCTTGGAGAAAGTCCAGAAATGATACTCTCTGATGATAGAATAGCTTTTCTTTCTTCAACACTAACTTGTCTGTCAGAATAGATTGCATGAATGTATTCTATGTGATCACCTAACAGCGCCTTTATTAATATTAGTGCCGACTATCACTACAGAAACGTATTGTCATTAATCAACGTTCTTCAAGTTGCTTCAGGGTCTAACTTCCACTTCTGTTTTGGAAGAATCAGAAGAGACTGAGTTGATGTTTTTTTTCCGCCAGGATCGGAATATTCTGACATCTCTCCTCCAGCTGTCAGGTTGTGCAGACAGAGCCAGACCGGTGAGTACAAACCAAAACATGACAGTCCTTCATTCAGAAGTTCACTCTACTTTTATTAAATCGTCACAAATCTCTCCGAACAAACACCAAGAACCCGAACTGACCATCATCCCCACGAAGCTAACATAAACGTTTCTTACTTTCCAATTTAAGTCAATTTCCCGATCAAATATCTTGAACCCAGTACCTGCTGGGTTGAAGTTACATCACATCAAATCAGTACTACAGTGCTTCACACTGATGGTCATCTTGTCACAGCTATCCCACATGTTGACCCCGTTATCCTGGTTTTTGAAACAGTTCATGGTCCCTTAAGGACAAACCAAATGCCTCTACTTTCAGACAACCTCTCGGTACAATCAAGGAGTATGTTTTTCCAATCCGTGCACTAGTCTGATAAATCTTTGTACATTTTCTGCGATGTCTATTATAAGGATCGCTCTATCTGCAGTTTGGCTTGATGGTTTATTGCCAAGAGCCAAAGACTGTGAATAATGGCAAATACGACTTTCCACAGCCTGATGTGACGGACTTAAACAGCTTGATGCTACAGAAAGAATGATTGAAGCAGCAGATGCAGTGACGAGAACCAGCTGAGGGTTTATTTGTTGCATTTGTGCAGAAATAAAAAACAACCAAAACATCTAATGGATTCTAAAAAGGTATTTCCCATCAATCAGCTGATCAATTGATAGTTACCGCTCTGAGGTTCTTAATGAGTGAGCCGGTTCATAAAGGTCACTGTAGATCACTCTAACAGGTCGAATGGATTCTGAACCTAATGTGGCTCTGGCAGACTAATGAGCTTAAGATATGATGAAGGTGTCCTTCATGAGCCTGCTGCTAGAAGATCCACAGAGACAGCTGTAGATCAGGCAAACACAAACATACCTCTGATGTGTGATGTTGACATTTTAACTGAAGGATGTGCAACGTTTTGATCCAGTTGATGGATCAGCATGAAACCAAAACAAGCTGCTATTCGGCGAATTGTCTTTGCTTGAGCTGCAATCACCTGTGTCCTTCATTGTTGTGTTAGCATGCTAATGTTAGCGCTCTTTAGTTAGCTCGTAGCTTCACTTTGCATGTAAATTTACACAGAATGACTGTTAGCTAAAAACTCTTACTAACATCCAAATAATCAGTGAGTATGTTCTTCTTCTTCTCTCTAGTTCTTGACTAAAACAGCTTTTATACACAAGGGGAGGAGCCGGCCGTCCCGTCCATGTAAACACGGCTCTGACAACAACACAGCCAGCGGGACTCGAGCTTCTCCCTCATTGTAGACAGTCAGGACTCAGAGACACATTTACACAGGATAGACTGGATTTCTGCTGTATTAAGGTGTGAAATGTTGCTCATTCCTTCTTTAAAACAGGAAAAAAAACACTTAACATCGGATTTCTGCAGTTTTTAATGAACCATGAAACTGCTTAATCTTAATTTTTAAGAGACTAAATGTGCTGAATATGTTTCACTAAGCTGTGAGGAGTTTACAGACATTCAAGAAATCTATATTTTGAATCTGGAAAATGTCATATTTCTTCTGTAGTATTGAGTGCATGCACAATAGGACTGAGGGTCACTGAGGATATTTACAACCCTTGAAACCTCTTTTTGTTCGAATGACAGTCAGGCATCAAATTAGTGAGTTATATATTGAATATCCAATTGAATGGAAAACCTTGAAATGTGTTTAGGTCATTTGGAAAACAAGTCTTTTCTCCAGCATGTTAAAGGCCAACATCTCATACTGAGAAAACTCATCAAGTGCATCAGCTGGAGGCCATCACTCAAGCCCTGCAGGAATAACCATCAAGTGAATCTCCTCTGTAACTTTGATCTACCGCTTATTTCCCCCCTTTACATACAGATTCAATGCAAATCTACGGCCGGCTGTATCTGCCATTCTTAACCGGGTTAAATGGAGGAGAGCTGCCTCACAGCCAACAGAAATAAATGGAATTCCCGTCCCTCGCTTTTATGACATGCATATCTCAGCCCGCACAGACAGACCTGTATTAATCATTGGACGCTGTGAGATAGCAGCCTGAGAGTGAACTAATGAGGCTGAGAGGGAGCCGGAGTCGAAGGAAGATGCAGATAGATGGCAACAGTGTTTGTTTGATTTCAGCACCATGGACAGCACCTCACATGTAACACTGGCTGCTCGACAAAGACTTCTTTACCTCTCTGAGGAGTACAACTACGACTACTACTACTGCTAATACATGTATTTATTTAGCTCCTTTCTAAACCCAGGTTACAAAGTGCTTTACAGCATCAACAACATATACAAAAAATGACAACAAGAATCCTAGTAGTTCTGAAAAATGAACAGAAAATCACTCTAAAAAGCAATTTAAAAAATACTAAAAAAGGATGCATGGACTCATACAGAAACATACAGAAAACAAAGGTGTGAGTTATCTGAAAAGTTAAAAAAGTGGCTTTTCAGGCATTTTTAAAACCAGAGTCAGGTAGAAAGAGAAGGAGAAGTCACCTTTACTTTTGAGTTTCGACGGTAGTACAGCCAGGAGATTCAGTCTGGATGACCTCAAAGATGGTGTCATGACTTAGGAAATATTAAATATTAGGGCGCTGGTGGCTAAATGGTAGGTTTTACGAGCCCCGTGTGCAGAGGCTGAAGTGGGTGACATGGGTTCAAATCCAACCTATGGCTCCTTTACTGAATGTCATTGCCCACTCTCTCTCTCTCCCTGATAATCGACTTTATTCACTGTCCTGTCTCTCTTATAAAGGCACAACAAGGTCAAAAATAAATCTTAATAAAAAAAAAAAAAGCAGCTCTGAAATATAAGCAGGGGTTTCCTGAATACATCCTCATGTCTAATCAAGCAACAATCAAATAAAAAACATTTATATTTCCAGTCAAATATGTGCTTAACAACCAGTTTCTACTGCTTATACATTGGGACATTGTTTTCACGGTTTGATTAGATTTGTTTTGAAGTGTTGGTCACAGGAAAAAAGTACTTCACAATTGTCCTCATAATTAAAAATCACATATTTGCTTCGTTGGTGCTTTGTGTCAAAGTGAGCGACCCAAAAAAAACGAGACAAAGACACACACATTTCGATCTTTGTGCCAACATTGGAAAAGAAGAATCGTGTTATAGTTTGGCTCTGTTGCTTTTTTGTGACGCTCGTTGTGAAAGTATGTAAATTGATAACGATTAAACAGAAACACGTAGAAGCTGTTCCACTTGTTTTGATGTTGTTGAATTCTAAACTTGCCTGCAGACTCAAAGTGTCACATGCCTCAAGGCTCAGTTGAACTTCTTTTTAATAGAATCACGAGCTTACATTAGCAACGAGATGGAACTGTACAAACTGACTGACTCTATTCTCACTCTGATCGGTGCCCGTTCTTCAGGGAAGCTAAATGATGTGGAAATCATGGACATGCTCAATGAAATGCTGCTAGTAGTTAAGCTAAATTCTGGAGATGTTGTCGTTTAAACTGTGGCCCTGATTTCAGACGCTAAAACATACTGTAGTGTACATTAGCCCGAACAACAGGCTGAGACGACCTGTTGCTCCCTACATGAACGAGCACACTTGAACCCTTCGCTTTATGGCGCTCTTCCTGTTTGAAGTCCCGCCTGTGATTGAGTAAACGACATGTTCAGCTGTTTGCGTGTCACAGACGTTCATCTGTTTGACCCTGCCTGAAAGGTTCATGTCATGCATGGATTCACTCTGCTGCAGCCGGATTGAAATGTAATTTCAGTCTGATTATCTCCAACAGTACGTTCTGTAATGTTCTGAATGTGCAGGCCCCGAGATGATTTAACCATCACAACGCTGGAGAGCATTCTAATGACTTTTCAGGATTGAAATTTGAGGATCTCGTTATCAAATCACGACGCCGCTGGCTGTGGGTGGGTGTTTACCTTTCACTTAATTTATTGAAATAAAACACCAGAGAGAGAGAGAGAGAGTTGCAGAGCTTAGACGTGCTGATGGAAACACTCGGTCCTACTGGAAATGCAACACTTTGAAACCGAGTCAGTGACCTTTTGAGAAATGTTTAACCTTTAAAGTTTGTGTTTTCCAGGAATCCTGCGAGGCTGCTTCCTGGAAAGCATTTCAATTCTTGCTGTTTCTCAAATAGTTATTTTTTTTGGTGTTTGGTGTTGGTGTTTTTTCCTGAAGGGACTTACAAAGGGAGGACTTAGAAGTGTTGTACAACAAAGCACTTCACTGTCGTTATGTTGATCCAACACATTTTAGTAAAATAGTGCATATGACTCAACCATCATTTAAAAACAAAAAGAACAATAC